GATGCATTATATAAAGGTACAATTCCCAATGAGAAATGTAATTGTGTTGTATACCTACAATGTACCAATAAAAGAATTTAATACAAAAAATGTTATAAAAAAATGTTGATATGAAAAAAAAGGTGATAATAAGTATGAGAGGCCATGAAAATCATGACACAGGGCCCACTCCAGAAGAGATTACTATCATGCATGTTGTATAAAATGCATAGTAGAGAAGGGAATTTTTGTTGTATTTCAGGTCTTTCTATAATATTCATTATTATTACTATAATTACTAATATCTTCCAAATAGTTTCATTAGAGTTATAAATCTTCTATGCCCATATTTCTTTTTATTATAAAAGCAGGCTCTGGATTAGGTCTCACCTTCTAGAAATATGTAAGAAGTAAAAGTTTAACATTGTCTGTCCTGTATCACTCACTTCTAGGAGGAATATACTAGCCTAAGCACTTTTTCACTGGATTAACTTTTATTGCAAAATGAGTTAAAATTACTACTTTAATTTAGAATGATGACATAATTTCTATTCAGTATTTATTGAAAACAGAAGAAGTTATACATGTTGTAAATCTTACCACATGCATATAGTTCTTTATTTCTCTACAGGAAACAAAACAGTCTTCAAAGAGAGATGAGGAAAATGTTCTGCGTGTACACACACACACAGACACACACAGACAAATGCACACATCTACAAAAATGTATGCATGGTTACATTATCTAATATTTGTGTTTTTTCCACTTCTCATTATTTACTCACCACTAACTACACTGTAATTACAACATTTATTATTAAAGATCATGTTGCATGATTTTTAAATATCAAACATATTTATCATATACAATGTGAAGTTTTGAAATATGTATATATTGTGGATTGGCTAAATTGAACTAATTAACTGTATTTTTTCATATACTTATTTTTATTTTTTATTCAGTGAAAACATTTGAAATCTACTCCCTTAGTAATATTCAAGATAATCCTCCTTTGTGCTCCATGATCATATGTTTTCCCCCTCACACATTAAAACTTTATTTATTGGGGAAAGTTGTAGAGTAAGTATTTTACCAGGAGGTCTCATTGTGAAGAAATCCTCTGTAGCTCTCCTGGGAATATGAATGCTGATGAAAAGCCTTTCGAATAATGGAACGTGTATTACATTTTTGTTTGTATCAGTTGCCATGACAAAGTCTATAATAGCATAATTTTAGCTAGCTATAATTTATTTTTACATTGGCTGAATTATAGGCAAGGACCCAACACCAAGGCTTAGAATTGATCACGCACAATTGCTTATTTTCATGGCCAACAGAGGCCATCTGCTTACAAAATCCTTCACAAACATCTCTTTAAAAATAGCAACTATCATAAAACCCAATATGTATTCTCCAAATATTTGGAAATGTGATGTTAATCTTTGCATGGCAATTAACAATTTTGAATATACATTATTTTTCAGCAGATTTTGAATTCCTAAAGCAACTTAATCTTAATTTTCTCAATTGATGCTCACAATAAGCAAGTAAATCATTATTTTCTTTTCATTTTAGAAATGAGGCATCTATAATACAAGGGGTTATGTTAGTTGCCTATAGTTATATATGTCTACTTGTGGTGGAGCTTAGAATCAAGGTGTGTTAGAATGTAACATTTTCCTCCATAAAAGGTATGATGCTAAAAATATGAACAGGATGAAAATGGAATGGTAGAAATTAAGAAGAGGATTGCATATAAGACTGTAGGACTCTCTCACTCTGTCTGTCTCTCTGTCTTGATACATAGGTATCAAATAGACAGGGGTCTACATATGAAATAGGTATAAATAGACATACATGAATATATATTCATCTATTTATTTATATATACATTACCTTCATATGTATGAAGGTAAATCAAAACAAGGTTTTAGAATTTTTTAAAGCAATCGTGTATGATTAATAGTGAGAGTGAATATACTTGCCTTTGAACAAAAAATTCTGCCTTTGAATTATTGCAAAATGTTTTCTCAATAAGTAGTACAAACGTTATTGCCTATACTTAAAGGGACCAGAATCCATTATCCAAAATGAACATTGTATTATGTATTAGGACTTTTCATTGAGTGAATATCCATTGGGCATTTACATAGTGTACAGTTTGTCCAGATGTAAGGCATGATCTGATTTAGTGATTCTAAACTAGTGATTTATATCCCAATGTGAGTGCATAGATGTTGTGCAGGAGTTATGCAGTATTTTCTTATTAGTTGCTAAAGTAAACATAAAGTTACTATTGATGTATGTGTTCTTTAAAAGAAAAATAGAAGCTTCTGTTTTTATTATGTTGGGATCCATATCTTAAGGATTTTGTGATTTTACTACTGCTAATTTATTTTCTTTTAATGGGTAGTTATACTTTGAATTAATAGAGCACTAAGATAATAATCATAGTCTCTGCTGTAGCTTGACCTCTTTATTGAACCCAAATCTTCCGGACTGGCACTGTCAGAAAAAAACCTGGTTAGAATGAAAAGTGCAGGGGAACATCCTGAGTGTAAACTTCTGCAGAAGGTGAGAAAACACTCTCAAGTATGAATCCAATTCTGAACTTAAACCAATTCCTTAAAACAAAGTAGGAATAATTTAGAGAAACTGTTGAACATTTCTGCCACCGATTTCATTCTTCAAGCTGAATATACATCTCCCATCTCCACCTACATGTGCCTTATCTACTTTTCAGAACCTAGAGACAAGTTGTCATTCACTGAAATGATCTAGATAATGGTAACTGATAACCTTTCTGAGTTGAACATGCAGTATTCATTCAAAAAGCATTTGCAGTTTGAAAAACAACTTCTCCTTTCAAAGGCATCCATTCCTACTATTATTTATCAAATATTCTGCTCCAAAATAAAACTGTAATTATAATAGCCAGGAGTGGATTTCTGTAACATGAATCTCTTTATGACCTTTCCTATGGTATCATTGTCTTAGCTTCAAACCTTAAAGTTCAATTGCATGCATCTGCGTTGTATTAGTGAAAACACCTGTGTATATGATCACATATCACCGGCCATTGTTTTCCCTGTATTTGGAGGTACAAATTTTAATATATTCAAATACATACATTGCTCAGGGACATCAGAAGGGTGGGTTTCTGGGTATGCATAATATCATATGATATTAGGTTCTTAAGAAAAGACCTTAGATAATGATGATAGTAAAATTCCTTTTTGGCTTCCTTTATTTCACAGGATTACACCCTCACTATGTATTTCCAGCAGTCCTGGAAAGACAAAAGGCTCTCTTATTCCGGAATCCCACTAAACCTCACCCTAGACAACAGAGTAGCTGACCAACTCTGGGTACCAGACACCTACTTTCTGAATGACAAGAAATCATTTGTGCATGGGGTCACAGTGAAAAATCGAATGATTCGACTGCATCCTGATGGAACCGTTCTCTATGGACTCCGGTAAATGACTTCACTGCATGTTTTAATGCCATTCCTTTGTTTTGATTCCCACTTTCAGAAGTGAGGGGTGAGAAGCAAGTAGGAGATGCTCTCATATGCATGATATCCCATGTTAAGGACTAGAAAATCTCTTTTGGAATTATTTAAGTTCAATGTAGTCAGCATTGTCCATCAGTGCAGGTGAACATTTTCTCCTGATCATCAAATGGTAAAAGAATAAGAAAACTTGTTCATATCAGATAGACTTCATATCTAGCTTGTTCTAGAAGTTATGTAATTTTTAGTTAATTGCTTGTTTTTCTCAGAGCCACCCTGAATGACCTGAAATGTGTTCTGTATGTTGGGTATAGTTACTTCATTATGAAAAGGAATTAGGAAAAATTTTTCTGAAGAAATCAGAAAATACTTTGTGGCAACTTTGAGAAGATTAAGTGTTTTTATCCTTTTTAGTTTTTATATTTTAGCTTTCATATTTAGATCTAAGTCCACAGTAATTAATTTTTGTGATTTGTGTGAAGTAGAAGTAGAGGCTCAATTTTTCCCATGACTATCTAGTTATTTGTGTATCATTTGGTTGTCATCACATTGTGTTAGTGGCTTTGATGGTATCTGTGTAGGCTGATTGCAAGACTCTATTCTGCTCCATTGTTCTATTATTTGTCTTTAGGTAGTGTTACTCTATTGAAATTATAGTTCCTCAATGGCAAGTCATGAAATCAAGGAGTGTAAGTCCTCTAACTTTGTGTTTATTTTGCAAGATATATTCAGATATTTAATGTGCTTTTCTCCCCTTATAGCTTTTAAAATTAACTTCTCAACATCTACCAGAAAAAAAAAGGCTTCTGGGGTTATAATTGAAATATATTGAATCTAGAGATCAGTTGGGAAGAATTGAAATCACAAAATTATCTAGTCTTCTAAACCAGGAACATGAATTATTTAGATTATTTATTCCAGTGATGTTTTTTACCACAGTGCTTTTTTCTGTTCTGCTTAGTAATTAGGAAAAAAGTGGCATAAAGGGGTATCACACACATCTAGAGGTCTATCATTAATCTACTTGTGATTAAGGGCTTATTAAAATTTCTAAGCTGTGTTTCAAAGTCAGCTTCCAATTTTTTCAAAGAAATATATGCATTGTGACCTGCTCTGGGATATGTATATTGGTGGTCTTTAACCTTTCATGCCACCTTTGTGATCCTTTTGTGAGAAAGATCAAAGCCATACAGTATATCTATCTATTTATCTCTCTATATAATATATTATATTTCTATATATAAATTTTATACCATTTTGGAGTGTTCATAAGCTCTCTCAAATCCTCCCATGTACCACAATCACCAAGCTAAAGCTCTAGTTACAGATCAAAATTTTATAATTTGTAATGTCTGTAAGTACATCAATATCTCAAAACAATGTGGATATGAAAAATACATTAGATAAAGCTTGTAATGTTAATTTAGTGGTTGATAATTTAGTTGATAACTTGGATCTTCATTTAGACAGTGAAATACATCAGTTGATCTTGACAAAATGATCTGTGGAATTTTTCCACTTCAGTATTCCAAGAGCTTTCAACTACAAAAATCTCTGAGCTAAAAGTGTCATGGAAAAATGTGACATAAAGTAACAATTTCTTTGAGGCTATTGATAATGGCTTCAGGTAAAACTTGCTAATCTGAGGTCAGCAACAGATCAGTAGTGATAGTTCATCCACTGAAAATAAACTATTATTTGTTACCTATTCAACTTCTATCAATATGTATCCTGGAAAAACAATCCATGACCCAACTGAATAAGCTAATCAGCTATTATATGTGTAAGTATGCTGAATAGTCAAACATTAAAAAAAGCTTTTCTATTGGAAAAAAAGATAATCGTTGTCTTGAAAAATTGGTGATCAAATTGTCAGTTTATGAGTTTCTCTTTAGTCAGTTTCCAAATTACTGACAACCTCTACCAATGAGAAAGATACAAAGAAAAACACATATGAAAGAATCATGAATTTGAAAACTTAGAAAACTGAAAAAAAAGAGTAGAGGGCCTTATATAAGGCCATAATAAAGTAATGATAGACTTTATTGTCATTGAGACTAAAATTGGGACTACAATTTTGGTATCTGACTCCCACACAGATGCTTTTCCCAATCCATTTCCATTCAAATACACTCAGAAGTCAATACCTCCTTCCAGATTTTGTACATTATTGCTTTCTTTCTTGAGGACAAACTAGGTCTTTGAAGCTTGTAACCAGCAGACAGATAATGATCATCCAATGAGAAGCACAAACTGTTCATTTATCATCTGAAATCTGATCTCTTTATGATACCAGTTTTCTCCATAAGCACTTCAGATCAGCTCTGATATGATTCCTTCTGCTTTTCCTGACTTCCCATAACCTCTTCCTTCACAGGTTTGGTTTTCTTTTCCCTAGAGGCTATAGCAATCACAGAAAGACCATAAAGTATAGCAAAGAAAGTATGACAATTGGAATCAGAAGCCCAGGGCTGGACTTCAGTATCACAATTTCCAGACTGCTTCACTTTGAACAAAGTATGAAAATTTTCTAAGCCTTACTTTTATCATATGTAGTAAGAGATAATTAGCTTATAACTCATTATTGAGAAAATCCTGTGAAATAATTAATAGTAGAGAGAAAACATTGTAAGCCTTAAATTATATTTCTCTAAAGTAAATGTGCCTTATAGAGCCTTTACTAGGTAATGGAAAAGCTGTATTTTGAAGGTAGTTCTCTAACTCAAAAGGGTATCAATGATTACACTCAAGATACAATTGTCCAATTAAGAAAACACTCATTAAATGCATAGTGTGTGCAGTCACTCATTACTGTGGCCCCGGAAATAATTTTTCTGGGGTTTGGTGGAAATTTGTCATTGTGCCAGAGTGGAGCTGAGAGTCATGAGATTTGTGGCCTAACCAGTGGCGGCCCTGAAGTCAGCTATTTCATCTCCCTGGACTTCAGTCTCCAACCCTCAAGGGAGAGATTGGGGAAAATTATCCAAACTGCCTTCTAAATCTAGGTTTACTTTAACATCTAGGTTACTTTAACTAGGTTACTTTAACATCCTGTATGTTAAGATGCGTTCATTTTAACTTATATGATGTAACATTTCCTAGTTGTAAAAATGAAAATATGTGCTTTATTTGGTAAGCGCCTGTTATACTTTAGATCTAGAATGTCTCCAAAAGCTTCATGTGTTCAGAGAGGGAACTTTGGAAAGGTGATTTGATCGTGGGAGCATTATACTTATCAGTGGATTAATGCACTGAGAGTGGACAGCTGTATGTATTGTTAGGAGGTGGGGCCTGGCCAGTAAAGACGCTTACTGGGGTTATAACCTGGACAGTATATTATTATCCCTGGCTCCCCTGTTTGCTGCACTTCCTAGTTGCCACAATATGAGCAACTTTCCTCTACTGGGGCCCTTCTACCTTGCCATTTTCCTGTGAACCTGCCAATCATGAACTGAAATTCTGAAACTCTGAGCCCAAATAAATCTCTTGTTAACTTATGGGTTTTCAGTATTTGTCTCAGCAATAGAAAAGTGACTAAGGTAGAGCCTTTTAAGGAACAGCTACCATTTAACACTTCCTAAGCATGCATAGTAGAAAATCCCTACCATATAACATATATTGGCATCTTCATAGCTGCATGATACTTATTTTAGACACGACTAATTAGGAGTATGGAAAATGATGTCCTGATTCTTTTCCATAAGGCCAGCTAGTCATCATTGTGAATGAGGCCATACATTAATGAGTAATTTTTAGCAATGACAGGATCAATGAGATTTTCTGAATGCTCCCTATAGTCCCTTTCACCAGATATTTCATCATCATTAGCCCATACATTAAACTAAATCAATTTTCTACAATCTAATTCAAATGTGAGATGCTACAACTTAATTTATATGAATCATATGAATAGAGTTCATCATTTTCTGTTTTTGTGATCTGTGTCAAATCACATTTTACATCCAGTGCATGTTATATAGAACCACAACTAACAGAATGGTGTCAGGCAGTAGACTGGTCCTTCTGAGCAACCAGGCTGCTGTACCACAGGTACATGGGAGAGACTCCATTTCTTGTATGCCACTCCTGCTGTGGCAAAATGCATTAAATTCAGAGGTAACACTGTAAGCAGTATTATTTCCTCATTTTTTAGTGAGGGATCTACTTGAAGGATGCCTGTGCTGTACTGTAAGTTGTGCATGTGTCTCATGAACCCTCTGTCCTGCTCATCTCAAGGCCCACAATGTCCCTCCTTTTTTTTTTAATTGAACACTATGTGGCAGGTTTGTGGAGAAAAAAGAACCCTTCTCCACTGTTCATGGGAGTGTAGACTGGTGCAACCACTGTGGAAATCAGTGTGGAGATTCCTCAAAAAACTAGAATTAGAGGTCCCATTTGACCTTGGTATTCCCCTATTTGGTATCTTCCCAAAAGAATTAAAACCATCATACCACAGTGATATATGTGCATCATGTCTATAGCAGCACAGTTTATAATAGCTAAATCTTGGAAAAAACCCAAATGCCCATCAACTGGTGGCTGGATAAAGATTAAAGATGTGGTTTTTTAAATATATAAAATGGAGTACTACTCAGTCATAAAGAATGATAAGCTAGAGATATTTATAGCTAAATGGTTGCATATGAAGGCCTTACTGGCCCTACACCACCCTTTTCCTGGTCTTCCAGCCAGGGGCATACAGGTGAGGAGCACAGCCACGTGGGTGCCTGCAGCACCCTACCCCCCACCCCACTCTGCTTCTAGCCTCCTGGTTGCACCTGTATCTGGATCCACACTTCACAGGCACAGGGGGTCATAAAGGCCATTGTCCTGAGCTCCAGAAGATAGAGCAGAAGTGAATGACAGAAAGAGGGCCTCTCTCAGGCTCCTAGATGAAAATTGAAGCCCACTGGAAAAGTGAAGAGAATCTCTGCATAAAGGCACAGCAGACCACCATACTTGGT